CTTCCTATAAGAAGGATAAGGACAAGGTCTAGGAAATTTTAGAATCTGACAAGTCACTGATTTGTCATTTAATATGTTGAACAGTTAATTGAGATATTAGCAAAAGTCTTTATAATTGCATAAGTGCTCCTGTGCTGTTAGAATGTCTAATGCCATCTGATTTGGGAGGATGGCCTATTTTATTAATTTTATCTTTTTTATTTATCAGAGAGATCAACTGCAATGTCATTTAAGACCTATGGTGTGTAGTTAATTAAGGCTTCAATATGCATTGTATAACCTTTTGCTGGACATGATCTGGTGGATCCAAGTGAAAGATATCTAAAAGAAATCTAGCATATTTGTTATTGGTTTAATCTGTATGATGCTTCTAGGCAAGAACAAACTTTTAATCAAAGCATATATAATCAGAGAATATATGCAAAGGTATATATATATATATATATTTTATATATATGCATTAGCATTGGAGTTGACAGGTAAGTTTAGAAACTGTTTCCAAGTTATAGCAAAAGGTCTTAGGACCTTTTATTGATGGAATGTGACATTCTGTCATAAATCCCTCTAGCTTTAGTTATAATTATCTCTAAATTTTTGATAATGTAGGAGAACCATATTAATACATTATTTTGGCAAATGAAACTTAAGCTTTTATATATGAACAACAATATGTACTATAGTTGTAAAAACTAGTCTCAGCATCATTTTGATTACTTGGCAACTTGGATATATATTTGTATTACAGCATTTATACAGGATAAAATTTCTCCCAGATTGGAGTCAGGCTTTTAGGCATAACTAAGAGGAAGGAGTGAAGAGAAAGTTATCCCAGTTACAGTTTAAGCAACCTATATTTTAGTGACTGTATTGAGGTACAGTACCTGGAAGGAATACCAGATTTGAGGAGGACAGAGACAGGTGCCAATGTCCAGCAATCAGCTGGGGTTTTTTTATTTTTTATTTTTTAACCTCTTGTCAGGATTACTCAGGGCTCCTCTGCAGAGATGACAGGCAGAGATGACAGTCTGGCCAGAGGGAGGCAGCAAGTTGCCCCCAAGGCCCTTTAGTCCTGCTGGACCAACTGATAGGGTGGGTCTGGACACTGGGGTCCGGTGATCCCCTTTGCAGTCAGAGCATAGCTTGGGGGTCTCTTAAGGCACTTCCTCTTAAAGTGGCCTGGCTTGTGGCAGCAATAACAGGTAGGTGTCATCATCAGGCTCTTCTTGGAGCCCCGAGAATCAGACTTAAGGTCTGTGTTTTTAAGACCACAATAAAGGCAGCCATTTTTTGGTCTCTTTGTTTTCTCTCTTTGGTTTTCTCCCAATCCTGATTATAGAATACTAAGGAAGTAGTTTTATTAGTGCCTCTGATAAATGATCAAGAAGTCAGAGAAGTTTTTACCCTTCTCCCGAGAAACAGCTGACAATTTAAAATAACTAAAAGGCTTGGTTTTTGTCCTTCGTAGACTTTGGAGAATATACATTTGAAAATGTCTCCTGTATTGTTGTCAGGCCACTTGGGTTCTTGGGTGGGAACAGCTTGTGCACCAGTGGGAACTGATAGTTCTCTTGGCTGTCTATCTTCTGGCCTTTTAAAATTAACCATATGATATTTGTCTCTAAATGCAGTAGCAGCTTGGAATGCTACTTGTCTCTCACTGGAAGTCAATGTTTGATTTAAAAGTAACATTACATCTTTCCAGCCTAGCTTATGGTTCTGAGTAAATCTTCTAAAGACATTAATGTACTTATCAGGGTCATCTGAAAGTTTTCCTAGTTCTAGCTCAATTTGCTTTAAATCACACAGAGAAAGGACCTATGAATGAGAGTGGTCTCATAAGGATTATTATTATACCTGGAGCATAGATAAGAATTATCTCAATGCAAAGAAAGTTTGAATATACAGAAATTCTAACCACTTTTCTCTTTCTTATAGTATGATTTTAGTTGTAAAAGTATATCGTAATTAATACTTGACTCTGTATTCCATTTTGGATGTAGAGGTAATTATGCCATGTACACATGCAGAGAAATACCAATTGGCTCTTTTTCAACATGGAAAAGTTGAATATCTTTTAGTGCTTAAGAAAACATTCCAAAGGAGTAAGGGGCTTTGGCATTGAGTTGTCCACATCTCCATCCAATGATCTCAGTGGAAGAACTCCAAAGGATATAGGGGAACAAAACTCCTGACCTGCAATATGTCTGGAACAAGTTCATGTTCTCTAAAATTGGAGAATGAATTTTAGGAACATCAGAGATTAAGAGCAGAAATATTTATTGAGAGAAAGAAAGCTTTTGTCTGAGAGAGAGACAGAAGGGCTCCCACATGGGCTGCCCTCTATATAAATTTTAAAGTCAACTTGACATACGGAAAGTTATGCTCTGATTTTGATTGGAATTATGTTGAACCTAAAGAGCATTTATGGGAAATTGCTATCTTAGTATCAAAAGAACTTGGTAAATCTCTCCATTTATTTGGATTTTCTTTGATTCTTTTATCAGTGTTTTATAACTTTGCCCATATTGATCTTGGAATTTGCACATATTTTGTTAGGTTTATACCTATTTCATGTTCTCTAGCCAGAGAGGTCTTTTTAAAAATTCAGATTGTAAACTGGGCACAGTGGTGCACACTTATAATCCCAGCACTTAGGAAGCTGAGGTAGGAGGACACCACAAATCTAAGGCCAGCCTGGGCCACATAATGAGTTCAAGGCCACCCTGAACTACAACATATGAGACCCTGTCTCAAAAAAAAAAAAAAATGCAGATTGTATTCTGTTGTTTCCCCTATTCAAAACTGCTCTGAAGTCTATAATCTGTGAAAGCCTAATGTCCTTACCAAGTCCGGCCCCTTCTCTGTTTTTCAGCTGAATTTTATGCTACTCTTCCCCTCATTCACAGTGTTCAAGTCTCAGATGAGGAGGAAATGGTTTATCTACTAAAGGGTATCATTGTTAGACTATCTTAAAGGGTACACACAAATGTTTTCAAACACAATCTACAAATGTGTTTTAACCTTACTAGGTCACTGGCCTCTTTCTATTTCTTTAGTCCTTAAGTCTGTAAGTCTCCCACTAAAGCAAAATGCTTTAGAACTGTTGGTTATGAAGACCTTTATGTATATTAGCTAAAGAAAATATTTTCATTCCTTAGCAACATACTGAAACTTGGGAAAAAAAGGCGAGTTTAGTGACAGATTAAGGATTGTCACTGTCATTGTACATGGATGAAGTTAAAATAGTTTTTACAAGCCTACTGCCAATTTATTACAGTATTCAAAGCAGAAGCATAGGACTGTCCTGGTGTTCTGTGGGAAGGTCTGCAGCCATGAGCTTAGGATGAGAGAGCGAGCCACAGATTCATTGTTTCAAACAGACCTTAAAACCAATACATTTAATCAACCAATGTTTATTCATTATGTTAGACACACACAGATGAATAAGACTAACCCAGGCCTTAGAGGAGCCCCAAAACTAGTGATAAAACAGATGGTTAAAACTGAAGTGCTTGTTCAGGGAGCCATAGTTCAAGGGGCTTTAGTAATCCAAGGAGAAATGAACAGCCCTCCGGGATTACAACATAGTATGACTGGTTGGTTTTCAAGACATGAGGCTGGAAGGGGAGGCAAGGACCGTCTTATGAAGGGTTTAAGGACTTTCATCCCATTCTTTAGCTCAGACATTTACCTCACTGTCTTTAGAATCACCTTGGGAACTTGTTAGAAATTCAGATTCTTGGATTCCTGCCCCCTGAGATTGATTAGAGCAATGGTGATTCCCCAGGAGGTTCTCAGCTGGCAGTCCTCACTAGGCACACTAACATTTAGAAGCCAATGCGTGAGGTAAAATTTAGCCACAGAATAGTTAAGCTCATTAATAATATGATCATATTAATATTTTTAGAAAGTTAAATCTGATAGTATTGTAGAACCATGGAATCACCTGAGATTAAAAAGCAAATTCTGAGTTAGTAGGTCCGGGGTTGGATCTAAGGTAACTACATTTCTAACAAGTTCCCAGGTGAAGCAAGTGTTGCTTCACCTGAGAACCACACTTTAATTAGCAAAGGGAATCGAGGATGGATTAGAGTGAGGTAAGATTATAGTATGGAGATCAGCTAGGAGCTTATCATAGTAATTCACATAAGAGATAGTATGTGATCTACTATGACAAAAATGGGTTCCAGGGAAATGTAATATAAAATTTTCAGTAATATTTGGAGTTAAAAGTAGATGAAGGTTAGCTATCTAGGTGGGTATCAATAATATTAAACAAAATATAAGATAAAGAAAGAATAAGATGGGGGCTCCAAATGTGGAATAGGGCTGCTTAGAGATCAGTTTCTTAGAGTTGAGAAATGAATAGCCAGAGGAGGGTTCATTTTGAATTCACTGAATTTAAGAGTCTATGAAGTATCTAAAATTCTAACAGTGGATAGAAGAAACATAGAGGACTAAAGAAGTGATAGAGATTGGTTGAAAACAGAAAAAACAGCATGAAAGACATTTCCAGGCAGAGTGGAAATAGCTCAGTGATAGAACATTTGCCTACCACAAGTGAGACCCTGACTGTGATAACCAGAACATAGGGGTAGGGGAGTGCATTTCTAGGAAATAAATGCCATGGCAAAGATTCTGAATATTTCCAAGTGTTCAGGCATGGTGTCAGTCCTGTAATCGCCACTACTCTAGAGGCAAGCTTGGGCAATTTAGCAAGGCCATGTGTTAGAATAAAAAATAAACAAACAGAACTTTGGGTGTAATTCAATGCTTGAGTACTCCTGGGTTCAGTTCCCAGTACTGAATATGAAATATAATGTAAAAATTATAGTTAAAAGGCTAACTTCCCAAGATGCTGGCAGGAAAGGAAATTCTAATGATTACAACTCACTTTATCTTTCAATCTTTTCATTTAAGTAAAGTTAAAAACTAGAGTCACTCATGATGGTAAGCCTCTCAGTTTTCTCATTGTTTTTTGTTTTTTTTTCCTCTCACAGGTTGATCATTCATAGAAGAGCTGCAATAACAACATAGAGAAGGTGAAAATTTAACAAAAGTTTTGCCATGCACTGAAAGAAAAGTATTGTCTGTGAAGCTCTATTTTTTAAAATGTCTGCTTGTAACACCTTTACTGAACATGTTTGGAAACCAGGTGAATGCAAGAATTGCTTTAAGCCTAAAAGCTTACACCAGCTCCCCCCAGACTCTGAGAGGCCACCCATCACCCATGGCAATGTGAAAACGAATGCCAATCACAGTAACAACCACCGCATCAGGAACACCGGAAATTTCCGGCCCCCTGTGGCTAAAAAACCTACAATAGCTGTGAAGCCCACTATGATGGTGGCAGATGGGCAAAGTGTATGTGGTGAGCTTAGCATCCAAGAACACTGTGAGAACAAACCTGTTGTCATAGGGTGGAACCGAAACAGGATTGCCTTGAATCCGAAACCACTTAACAATAATAATGAAAATGAGATTGAAGGATTTAGCCATATTCCTAAACCTTATGACAATAATGATAGTGCAAAGAAGGTATCAAATAATAATAATGGACTAACTGAAGTGTTAAAAGAGATAGCAGGCCTGGATACTACCCCCCAGATAAGAGGAAATGAAACAAACTCCAGAGAAACATTCTTAGGAAGAATAAATGATTGCTACAAACGCTCACTGGAAAGAAAGCTCCCACCAAGCTGTATGATGGGCGGGATAAAGGATTCTCAGGGCAAGCATGTCATTCTGAGTGGGAGCACAGAAGTCATCAGCAATGAAGGAGGCCGCTTCTGCTACCCAGAGTTCTCTAGTGGCGAGGAGAGTGAAGAAGACATTCTTTACAGCAACATGGAAGGGGAGCATGAGAGCTGGGATGAGAGTGATGAGGAGCTGCTGGCCATGGAGATCCGCATGAGAGGGCAGCCTCGCTTTGCTAACTTCAGGGCAAACACTTTATCTCCTGTGCGATTCTTTGTGGACAAAAAATGGAATACCATCCCTCTACGAAATAAGTCACTGCAGAGAATTTGTGCCGTGGACTATGATGACAGCTACGATGAGATTCTGAATGGATACAATGAAAATTCTACAGCCTCCTGTGGACAAGGAAGCATTCAGAGTATGGTGTCCTCAGATTCCACATCACCGGATTCCTCCTTAACAGAAGAATCACATTCTGAGACAGCCAGTAGTTTATCCCAGAAAATTTGTAATAGGGGGGTGTCTCCTGGTAACCCTGGAGAGTCTAAAGACATAAAGGAAAATAATCAAGAGAAAGACTTGTCACAGGCCTCCAAAAGCTCCGTAAAAGTTCCAGAGACACACAAAGCAGTCCTTGCTCTTCGATTAGAAGAGAAGGATGGCAAAATTGCTGTACAAACTGAGAAACAAGAAAGCAAAGCCTCTACAGATATTGCTGGGCAAGCAGTCACCATAAACCTCGTCCCTGTAGAGGAGCAAGCGAAGCCCTACCGAGTTGTAAATCTGGAACAGCCATTGTGCAAGCCATATACTGTCGTAGATGTGTCAGCATCCATGGCCAGTGAGCACCTTGAGGGTGCTGTCAGCAGCCCTAAAACCAAAAGCTCATCCTCCACTCCAAACTCACCAGTAACATCGCCTGCATTAACCCCAGGACAAATAAATTCCCATTTCCAAAAATCCAGTGCAATCCGATACCAGGAAGTGTGGACTTCCAGCACCAGTCCACGACAGAAGATTCCTAAAGTGGAATTAATTCCTGGCGGAAATGGACCAAATGTCCCTCCAAGGAAAAACTGTCACAAGTCAGCACCTACTTCACCCACAGCTACAAACATTTCCTCCAAAACCATCCCCGTTAAGTCACCTAATTTGTCTGAAATAAAATTTAATAGTTACAATAATGCTGGTATGCCACCTTTTCCAATTATCATTCATGATGAACCAACTTATGCTCGGAGTTCCAAAAATGCTATTAAAGTTCCTATTGTTATTAATCCAAATGCCTATGACAATCTAGCCATCTATAAGAGTTTTCTGGGAACAAGTGGAGAACTCTCAGTGAAGGAAAAAACCACAAGTGTAATAAGCCATACTTATGAAGAAATAGAGACTGAAAGCCAAGTGTCTGATAACACCACTGGCAAACTCACTGAAAGTCCCCAGGCTAAAGCGTTTTCAAACAGCACAGAGCGCAAAAAGGGCTCAGTTGCACAGAAGGTTCAGGAGTTTAACAGCTGTCTCAACAGAGATCAGGCTTCCCCACAGAGAAACTATAGTTCTAGCCACAGCTCCCCAGCGAAAATCCAGAGAACCACTCAAGAGCCTGTGTCCAAAACAGAAAGCACACAGGAGTCTCAAATGCCAGCCAGCACTGGCAGCACCAGGGAGAAGGCAAGCACCGTGCTCTCGCAGATTGTAGCTTCTATCCAGCCCCCCCAGTCACCTCCAGAAACACCTCAGTCTGGCCCTAAAGCTTGTAGCGTAGAAGAGCTTTATGCCATTCCTCCTGATGCAGATGCTGTGAAAAGCATGCCTAAGAGCACAGCAGTCCGGCCCAAGTCTCTCTTTACATCTCAGCCTGGAGTTGAGGCCGAAGCGCCTCAGACCACAGAGAATCCCAGCACCAAAGTGCAGAAAGACCTATTTGCAAAGCCTATCACCTCTCCTCCCTCCAAATTAGTGACCAGTCCCCAAAGTGAGCCAGCGCCCCCCTTCCCCCCACCACGATCCACTTCCTCTCCTTACCACGCAAGTAACCTTCTGCAGAGGCATTTCACCAACTGGACAAAGCCAACCAGCCCCACCAGATCCACAGAAGCTGAATCCATTTTGCACTCTGAAGGCAGTAGGCGGGCAGCTGAGGCAAAGCCTAAACGCTGGATATCATTTAAAAGCTTCTTCCGCCGTCGGAAAGCAGACGAGGAGGATGACAAAGAAAAAGAGAGAGAGAAAGGAAAACTGGTGGGCCTTGATGGCACAGTCATCCACATGCTGCCTCCTCCTCCAGTTCAGCGCCATCACTGGTTTACAGAGGCAAAAGGAGAGTCTAGTGAGAAGCCGTCCATTGTGTTCATGTACAGGTGTGACCCTGCCCAAGGCCAGCTCAGTGTGGAACAGAGCAAGGTCGGGGCTGAGCAGACAACAGGCACAGAGAAGGATAGAACAGAGAATGTCTCACTGCAGAACTCAGAGAAAAAGAAAAATAGTCATACTTCTCCATCACAGATTCCTGAGAAAGTTCCCAGGTATGTAAAACAGGATGACAGAATACGGGGAATCTTTAAACACATTTTCATGTGTAAGTTTTTTATATCTTTTAAGATTGCACAAGAACCATTTCTGTTTATATAAGTAGCACTCTGTGCCCATCATCCATCTTTATAACTGTATTCCAAGATTGGAATATTATTAAAGTGTTCTTACTGCGCTGAACAAGGTTTATGACCCTGGTTCTGTAGCTAAAGCAGCCTGCTGCATTCCAGTGAATGCAGAGGGTTTTAACATAGAAAAGCAAAAATAGCACCATAATAGTAATAAATAATACATTGTTCTGAAATGTTGTGAATAAACAGAATCAAATGAATGCTTTTCCCTCACTATAAATGAAGTAAAACTCTTCGAGCAGTTCTTTTTTGGCTTTTACCAAGGTGTTATCTCCAGATGTATTACTTTAAGGGACTATTTGATTTTTTATAGCTGTCTCTTTCTGTTCTCTCTTTAAGTGTCGTGGGGAGCAGGGTAAGCAGTTTAAAGATACATAGCATGTAGGAGAAAGAAAGGTTGGTTCTTAAGAGTGAGGTTTGATGGTTTGATGGTACAGCCCCATATCCACATGAGCTTTCAGGCATTAGTTTTCTTTAATACCTTAATAACTTTCTACTGATCACCTACTCTATGCATGGTACATTCCAGATACTTTTCTTAAATCCTTGTGAAGCCCTATAAATTAACTATTTTTTTTAGAAGAAGAAATGAAAATTAGGACAGTTAAGAATTGGTCAGAATTGCAGAGCTAGTACTTGTCAGAATTGGAATTGATACCCTGATAGTTTTACTCTAAAATGTTTTCTTCCTAAAATTTTTCATCATTAATGAGTATAACGTCCAACAAAGGGCTGGAGATATAGCACAGTGGTAGTATTTGCCTGGCATGCATGAGGCCCTAGACTTGGTCACCAGCCTGCAAAAAGAAAGACAAATCAAAAAGTAAACTTAAAATATTTTAATTTACTTGTGTCATTTACATCAATAATTTAAGGTGCCTGTTTTTCTTTCTCATTTGTATTATAGGCACAATTAATTAACTTCCATTAAAAATAAGGAGCAGTTATCTCCTTGACACATAGGATGATTTCCTTATACTCCCTGCTCATTTTATTCTTTTTTATTTATTATTATTTTATTATTTTTTTATTTAGGGGGATATCAGGGATCGAACTCACGACCTCACACTTGCCAAGCAGGTACTTATGCCACTGAGCTAAGTCTCCAGCCTTTCATTTTATTTTTAAACAATAATATACTCTGAATATTTTAATCTTCTGATTCTGAGTCTTTCTGCCTCCTGGCTTATAGTAAATATTCACTATCTGGCCTGCTTTCTCTCTGGCAAGGACAGCAACCCAAATTGATTCTTACCAGTTTTTCTTCAGAAAATTATAAATGAAAATGAGGTGAACTCTTCACTTTCCTAGCAAAATGTTAGGAAGCTTTACATATATTCTTCACTAAAATAAGCTTTTTACATACCTCCAAATATGTCAAAATGTTGGCAAGTTCCTGTTTTCCTTAAATCCATATAATAAAGCAACGAGAATGGTGGTAATGTATTCCTGGAAATGATAGTCTTGTCATTGATGGCTGAGTGTTTTCCATTTTTGCATGTTCAATGATAGAATAGTAATAAATGCATGTATTGGCAGCTACTATTTTAATTTAGAAAAGAGGCAATTTAAACTGCACACATAGTTGGTATTTCCTAAAAGGGGTAGCAGACAGTTCCTACAGATTGATAAATGGCTTTACTCCTAATTGAGTATGGCTGTGGTGAATTTAGTCACACCCTGGATGGCAGAGCCCAGCAATGATTTGGCCTTTCTTCTGCGAAATGTGACTCTCCTTTTACTGCATGCCACTATATGTGGGCTCTGGGGCATCCCAGGTCTGAAGCACGGCAGACTACTGACTGTCCAGCTTACATTTCACAGATTTCTTGTATGTGGGCCAGTCATATCTTCCAGAATGTATCAGTTTTTATAGGTAACTTTCCAACAGATGCCAGGTGAGGTTGATGCTGCTGGTCCTTGGACCACATTTTAGAACCACGTGTCTCACCATCATTCTAAATATCCATGAAAAGCCATAATGAAGCTGTTCCTAGAGGCACATTTATATTTTCTTCCTTCATAATGACCCAAACTATGTAGAAAAAGAAGTATTCTTACATTGTTCTTAACCTTATGAAAAGTTTAAAACATGAATATGCATATTGAAAAAATACACAATTTGCTTTTTAAATAATTACCTCATTTACTTGGATGTGCCATTGGTATTTACTTGAAGCAACTTGAGAGGAAAAACATTGCAATCAAATGTCAGCATTTGTGTTTCTGGCTTGATGGCAGTGTGAGCATTAAATTACCATCACACAGCTAGGAACATGCTGCTTGAAGAAATGAAAATGTAGTATTTTAAAATATATATAAATAAATGAAGTTTCCAAATCTAAACTGTGTATAAGGAATGAAGAATGAAAAAAAAAAAAAATACTGGAGGCCAGACCCCAGGCTCTGAGACATAAGAGACTTTATAGAGCCTTTCCTTATGCACTTAGAGTCATCTGTTTGACTTTTCTCGAGATACAAATATAGTATAGTATGTGCCCTTAGGTCCTGGAACAGTAGGGGCAAGAGTATTGTTGAAATAATGGACTTGTGTTCAACTTCAGCTTTGACTCTCTGTCTGAGCTTTCAGTGTACTGACCTAAGTGATACCAATCACATAGAATTAACTAGATGATTCATGAGAAACATGCAATGGGCTTGGCACACAAATTGAGTCTGACGCATACTGGGTGCCTTCAGATGTCAGTAGCTCTTCTGCCCTCAATGCAATAAATGCTAAAGGCACAGAGAGAAGAGAATGGAGACAGAGCAGGCAGAAGCAAGATGTGACTGTAAAAGGATAATGAATAGCCTAGTAGTTCTAAAACAGTTGACCTTATAGAGTTAGACAGTGGTTACCAATGGCTGGAGTGCTGGGGGGAGGTGGTGGTGTGCAAAGTGAGATGATGTCAGAGGATACACAGTTAGACTGGATCCACTGCACAGCATGGTGGCCACAGCTGATGCATCATGTATTTCCAGACCACCGAAGGAGTAGGTCATCATCACAGAAAAATGATAAGCAGACGAAGTGATATGTTAATTATTTTTCTTTCCTCTTTCTACAGTATATACATTTGTTACTATATGTACTCAATATCACTTTATACTCCATAAATGTATACAATTGTTATTTTGCATTTAAAAGACTAAAAACAAAAAATCCAGTAGTTCAAGTATGATCTCAGTGAGATCAAACAGTGACCATACAAAGTTTAATATTGATACAGTTTAAGTCTCAAACGTCATCAAAAGGCACAAGGCTAAAGTTTTGCTTACCAGGCTAGAGTGTTCCTGGGAGGAACAGAGCCTTAGTGGAGTCTGCTGAGAAGTGAGGTCACTGTCCCCCGTCCTTTCTTGTCACTTTGCTTCTTCCACATTCATGCCTTCCATGACATGGAACCTCATCAGAGGTCCAAAGGCAGTGGTACAAGCAACCATGGACTGATGCTTGTGAAACCATGAGTCAAATAAACCTTATTTCCTTATAATCTGGCTAGGCAAAATACAAACACACTTGTCTTTGCTGTTGACCTTTGTACCGATGGTGCAGAAATAATTGTGGGCTTAATTACTTGCATTAAATAAGTCAAAGCCACGGCACCATATTGTACTAAGAGTTTAAAGGAAAAAAAAGTTCTCTTAAGTATGCCTTTTATGAAGAAGTAAATTTTACTGGCTCTCAATTGTTGAGTAACTGCTCTTTTTTTAATTCTATGTGATGAAACAGGGCCTGCATGTAGAGTACTCTGGCTGCATACCAAAGTATGATGTGTGTACTAAAGAAGAAATACTTGTGAAATAGTGTGAATTAGGACCTCTCTTTCATAGACTACTTTGAAGGAACAGAAGGCAGACCAATGACAGTTATTCAGACAAGTATTTGGCAGATATTTTCGTAACAGTGAACATAGTGTGCCTGTTCAAAGGGAAACAGCTTGACTGTATTTGTCGTCAGTGATAAATGTCAAGCTTTCAAACAGAAATAAGAACTTTTAAAAACTTTTACCTGACCTTGACATCTTCCTAATACTTAGATACTTTCCAGGTGAGAGTGGTGGTAGAATTAGCAACAAGTTTTTAATATCATAATAAACACTTGGAGGATCTGCATAACTCAGAAAATCAGTAATTTCCAAATAACCACCAAATGATGCACAAAATTATACATGAGTACAAGATCCATTCAAACTACAGTGTAGATCATTGCATTTTAATATAACTGAGTACAAAAAGTCCATTTGTATGGGTTCAGATTTCACATTGCAACTAACCTTTAAGAAACTACCACTTAGGGCCAGGGATTTAGCTTAGCAGCATAAGTGCCTGCCTGGAAAGAGCGAGGTTTTGAGTTTAATCCCTGGTACTGCAAAAAAAAAAAAAAAAAAGAACAAATGGGAAACTACCACTTATCAAACTCTGGTACAATACTACAGGATAATATCCAGTTATCTAAAAGGCTGCTGGGGATTTAGTTCAGTAGCATAAGTACCTACTTTGCAAGTGCATGATCATCAGTTCAATCCCCGGTACCAATTTAAAAAAAAGTTAAAAAGCTATTAGATGCTCCTTCCTTTCCCACATATAATTCTGGATGAGACCAGAATTATTTTTTGCATATTCTTTAATCAAAGCAGTGAATCACAGCAGATTAAATACAGAAGCAAATATGAGAATTGGGCTGTCTTCTATTAAGCTATATATTTTAAAAGATTTGAAAATATTTAAAGAAATTTTAATGAATTAACTATTTTTAAATTTTCTCAGTTTTAATTCTATTATAAATGCCAAAAGACATAATATGCACAAATAAGAACTCTTCTGGCTGTCAGTTTTTAGGGACTTTATATTCTGAGACTAAG